CTAGATGCCTCGCAGAAATCACCGCTTCATGTTGGAGAGACGAGGAAGGAGGATGACCCCAATGAGGACTGGTGTGCAGTTTGTCAGAACGGAGGGGAACTCCTGTGCTGTGAGAAATGTCCCAAAGTATTCCACCTTTCTTGTCACGTGCCCACATTGGCGAATTTTCCAAGGTATGATAGTGCTTGCTTCCCTCTCTTACATTCCTTCACTATAAATGCAATAAACTTCGGATGATCATTGTAACATAAAACCTTCGTAAAAACTCAAGTAGAAGTCCACTTGGCATAAGTACATACTCCAAAATTGTCATCATTGGCTTTCCCCTGACTCTTATTCCCTGTGCTTCTCTCAAAAACCTAGTCTGTTATGATGAGAAAAAAATATATATAGCCCTTTAAGTGATTTCAAGGGGATTTCCGTAAAGAACATGGTCCTTATGCACAACTGCCATAATCTGTTGCGTCTTATTTACCAGACATTGAGCTATATTACTTACAAACATCTTGAGTAAATTCTCAAACCCTATGAGGTGATGATGGTAATGAAGAAAAGCCATTGGATTGATCTAGTTCTTCAAAGGCTGTCCTTTTAAAAGTTTAATTTATAATTTCAAACTTAAAGTTGCAAGAATAGTACCAAGAGCACTTCTTTTTCTTGAATCATTTGGGGAAAATGTCAGTTATGCCTCATATTGGCCGGAGACTGATGCATGTGTTTTGTTTTATTTGTACATGGGTTTCATGCTCCTCAACTAGACTAAAAGTAACTCCTTTACCACTTAGGCCCTTGTATTTCTGCTCTTAGGCTCCCTCAGCATGGTGCCATGTACATAGTAGATATATGGTAAGTCCTCAGTGATTACAGTTTATGCCAAATAAATAATTCTGTATCACATTTGGCATGGAAGAGCTGGGAAAGGGAGATGGGGAAGAGAGAAATGATGCGTTAGGAACTCAGTCAAATATTTTATCCCCCAACAGTGGAGAGTGGATTTGCACTTTCTGCCGAGACTTATCTAAACCAGAAGTTGAATATGATTGTGATGCTCCTAGTCACAACTCAGAAAAAAAGAAAACCGAAGGCCTTGTTAAACTCACACCGATAGACAAAAGGGTAAGTTTCCAGCCTAGACTGTTACACAGTTGTTTTGGTTGCACATTGTATGGTGATAGACAGATACTGTGATGCAGAGGTGCTTTCCTCAAAGAAGTGTACGTTCAAATTCTGTACTGACTTCATTCTTCTTTAGTACTTTTTTTCCCACAAAAATGTAAGAATCTTAAATAATGGCAAATTATAACGTTTTAATTAAATAAAATCACAGTGCTATACATGTATTTTCTAGAAACTTAAAATACTCTAATTGGACAAAGTTCAATTGAATATGTGTGCTTTATATATGTATTTATCCTGGATTTTCAGGCTACATGTAGTGAATTTCAGTTTTGTTTTCTACTATGGATAAGTTTTCTACCTCAGAATTTGTTAAGAATTGTCACCAAAGAGATGGATGGGTTTTTCTGTTTACTCTTCCTGGAAAAAAATTACATCGTTTCGCCAGGTGGTACTAGGTTTATACTTCAAAGCCTGCTAGTAGATTTAACTGCAATTAACGTATAAAGCTACTAAGCCAGTACTTATTACTAAAGAAGCTCCTGTGCTGAATTACTAAGTAGAACAGTCAGTATGAAAGTTGTCATGCGGGAGAGGGTGCGGTGAGCGCTGCCACCGCGACACGGTGTTGCTGGGTAAGCCCGTGAGCAGGGAGTAGCCGGGTGCTTGATGGCACCATCTGCATTCAGAGAGAGGCCTTGGGACCCAGTGCACCGTGGAAAGCCTCCACCTCTGGATCTCTTAACACATGGATGTTCTTCTTTTATTGACCATTAATAATTCAGTACACAAATTGGAGAGATAAGTGGAAATTTATGTTTAAAGAACTTCAGATGGGTTTCTAGTGATGCTGCTTTTGTTCCTGTAATTACAAGGACTGCTCGCATATCACAGACACCCCAAAATGTCAAACGGTACACTGGAGTCAATGACTGGAAAGGTTATCAAAGCTCCAGGTATCAGTATTTTTCTTGTATTCATCTGGTTTTAATTTTTATCCTGGTACTTTGAGACCTGTAATGGTGTTATTAAAAATTAGCTGTGACTTCATTATTTCATTATATTTTCTTTCTTTTTTTTTTTTAATGTGTGTGCAGAAGTGTGAACGCCTACTTTTATTTCTTTACTGCCATGAAATGAGCCTGGCTTTTCAAGACCCAGTTCCTCTAACTGTAAGTATTATGTCATTTTGTGCATTTTTGCACAGTGAGATGATTTTTCTAAAACTCGATTTATGAGAATCTAGTTTCTACCATTTTTCAATAGTAAGTTTCTTATATTAATCCAAATCTTAAAGCTTATTCATACATACTGATGCTTTGATCTTAAATACATCTTAATGTTAACAAACTAGCCCAAAAGTTATATTCATTTCTCACATATTCTTTTTTCTCAGCTAATGTATTTTACCTCCCATTCTCTGGGATGATTTCTACCAGTTGTTTCTCTCAGGAGTTTTAGGTGTATATCCTAAGCTGTTGGGGAAAAAAACTTGCCATCTGAGATAAAGACCTCCCCAAATTCTCTATGTGTGTTTTGATTTCTAGGTCTAGACTTCAAGTAATGAGTAGTCTGTAACAATAGAGGGAGAGGGGTGTGTTTGTGCGTATGTGTGTCATCAACTTCACAAAGCTTCATATTTAAGTTTGATGTGACTTTAATGCATAATTTTAGAATGCCAGAAAGGACTCAAAATAAGTTTTTCTATTTTCTGATGTCTGAAATTCCTTTGAAAAAAATTAATAGATTTGTACAGTTAGATAAATTTTTAAAACTTAATGCAAGGTTGGAAAATAAAACTGGCTTGGTAAATACATCGAGCTACTAAACAGTTAACTTCTTTCTTGAAAACAAGTTTTGAGAAATTGAGATAGGAAAAAGAAATACAGTTGACTCTTAGAACAATACAGAGGTTAAGAACACCGGCTGTCTGCACAGTTGAAAGGCTGTGTATAACTTTACAGTCGGCCCTCTGTACCCGCAGAGTCAACCAGCCACGGATCGTGTAGTGTTATAGTATGAATTTAATGAAGAAAATCCACATATAGAAAATCCACAGTTCAAGGATCCACTATAAATGATTTTTATAGTGTAGCAAAAAGAGGCAGGGCAAAAATATGCCCATAAGAATGTTATTCACTGAAAAATTTAACCTGGAACTTGGTGCTCTTTAAGATGTTGACTTATAGTCAGGTCAAGGAATCCTCTTTACTAATAGAAGAATTTGAAGAAATTGACTTATAAGAGAGTAGTATTAAAAAGAAGAATGTTAACTTATGTATTTTCATTGACAGTTTTAACTTTCCACTATCTACAATGCTTATTACACCAATATAAGTTACACTAATACATTGGTGTTAGTAACAGCAGCAGCAAAGTAGCCCCCTTTTTCTTCATATATATGATCTCATTTAGTCTTTACAAAATCCTGTGAGAGTGGTAGAATGATTCCTGTTGGAAGTACAAAGAAACAGTTTCAGTGATGTAACTTAACCAAGAGTACACTATTGAGTGGCAGAGCTAGGGGTCAAATCCAGGTTCAAAGCCTACCTGCTAAAACACATGCAGCAAAAACACGTCCAACCTTACTGGAAGTAGTACTTTTTCTAGTGATTGCTTTTTGTTTAATAGTGAAGAAGGAGAGTAGTAAGAGGGAACGTGTGGTAAGGTTTTTTTTTCCATTAAAAAATAACTGGTGAAAATTTTTGATAAATGTGAAACTAAACATTTACCAATGTGTGGAAGCCTGCAGAAACTTCCTGAATAGATTTCCTTATCAATGACAAAATGGTACAGAGAAAAGCAATGAGCACAAGCTGAATGTTACACTACTACCTGTAGGATTTATTTAGAACCAGGTAGAATTTAGTTATTTATTGTAACATCTCATGTCTTTTGAAAGGTGCCTGATTATTACAAAATAATTAAAAATCCAATGGATTTGTCAACTATCAAGAAAAGATTACAAGAAGATTATTCCATGTACACAAAGCCTGAAGATTTTGTAGCTGATTTTAGATTGATCTTTCAAAACTGTGCTGAATTCAATGAGGTGAGAAGAAAAAAAATAATATC